CATCAGCAGCAGCATCATCACCAGCATCACCAATGCCATCAGCATCAGCATCACCAGCATCAGCATCATCATCAGCATCACCACCATCAGCATCATCAGTATCAACAACAGCATCATCACCATCACCCGTACAATCATCAACAGCATCCTCAGCATCATTAGCAGCATCAACATTATCAGCATCATCCACATCAGCAGCAGCAGCATCGTCCCCATCAGCGGCATCATGATCAGCATCAGCATGAGCATCATCATCATCATCAGCATCAGCATCACCATCATCACCAACATCAGCATCACCATCACCAGCAGCAGCATCGTCATCATCAACAGGAACAGCAGCATCATCAGCAGCATCAGCATCAGCATCACCATCATCATCATCATCATCAACACCATCGCCATCGTCATCACTATCAGCATCATCATCATCATCCGCATCAGCATCATCATCAGCATCATCCTCGCCATCGTCATCGTCACCATTAGCACCAGCAGCATCATCATCATTATCAGATCCAGCATCAGCAGCATTATCATCTGCATCATCTTCCAAATCAGCATAATCTGCAGCATCAGCATCACCAACATCAGCATCACCATAATCATCGTCAGCATCATCACCAGCATCATCATCGGCGTCGGTATCGTCATCAGCACCGTCATCACCATCATCAGCATCATCATCACCATCATCAGCAATACCACAATCAACATCATCAACTAGATCATCATCATCATCATCATCATCATCATCATCATCAGCATCATCATCATCAGCAGCATCATCATCATACGTATCACCACCCTTGGCATCGTCAAACGTATCGTCATCAGTAGTAGTTCGCGTTCCCTCGCTGCCAAATTATAACCCTCGTCTTCCTCTGAATCCTTCCCCTCCTCCTCTATATCCTCCTCCTCGTCGTCCTCCTCCTCCTCAACATACCCATCGTCGTCTTCGCTTCGCTATCCGAATCAATCTCATCGATCTGACCTAATTAAGTCCTCATTTATCCTTCTTGCGTGCTTCTCCCCTTCCTCCACCTTATCACTATCCTCGCTTAGATCCTAGTGCTCTTCATGGCCAACATCATCATCCTCATCATCACTGTCACTACCACCAGCACCAGCTTTTCATATCGGCGGCCAGGCAGCGGTCCAGCAAATTGGGGCGATCGAAGAGCGAATTGCCCAGCATGCAAGACAAGAGACTGAGACAACGGCCGCGGAGGCGGGGGAGGAGGAGGGGGCACTCGGAGGTGGAAGACTCCCATCCTGAGCGCGCGGGCGCGGCCAGCATCGGCAGCGGGGGCCGTGGCAGCAGCCGGGCCGCGGCGTCGGTGCATCTACGGGCGCTGCCGAGGCCCAGTACGCGAAAAGCAAGGGCACGCACAGCTGAGCGTACCAGGTGTGGACCGACTAAGTACTGCAAGTGAGGAATCGCACGGAGAAGCGGTCCAAGTGACGAAAAGCAATCTAGGTGTTAGACTGCCATATGCAAAATGCTGTGCCCGTTGGGTGTAGGGCGAGGGCTGCGACAAAGCGCAGAGCCCAAGAACACCACCACCAGGGGGTCGCTGCCAGCCGCGGTTGCAGCGTCGGCGCCATGGCGCAACTCGGAGGGAGGAAGGGAAAGGCGCAGGGGAGAGGAGGGAGGGACAGGGAGGAGGAGCGTCCCGCCTGCAGGGAAGCCCAATCAGGCGGGGCGACGGCACAAGGCGGCCCAGAGCCAGCGGTGCGGCTGCCGGGCGGGCGGCCCTTGCTACGGCCAGGCGCCTCGCTCGCCACGCAGGGGGGCCAAACTGTGGTCAGGGCCTGAGCGGCGGAGGGAGACGAAACTGTGGCCGAAGGCCGCGAGAGGCAACGCACTGTCCTGGGTGGACAGTGCATGGCCGGGCCGAACTGAAGCACCTGATCGGCGCAGCTACCTGTGTCAAACTGTGGCCGAAGCCGTTGGAGGCCACGCGCTGTCGAAGTGGACAGGACATGGCAGGTCTCGGGGCACCTAGTCGGTTCAGTTACCTGTGTGAACAAAAGGGGGACCCGGAGCGGGGGGAGGGGGAGGGAACACGGGAGCAGCGCACCACCCAGGGAGGGCAGCGAGCGGCCGCGGAGCGCCACACGCCACTGGGGTGGGGCGCAGCGGGCTGGGCAGCCAGTCGGCGCAGGCTCACGTGCTAGGGGCCGCGCACCGCCTGGGTGTAGGGCAGCGCGCGGCCGCAAGACCCTCACGCATTGCCTGGGGAGGGTGGCACGCACAAGTCAGGGGGCCAGGCAGGTCGACTCCCGCGATGGGGACGTAGGTCGTCCAGGGAGGGCCGTCCGCTGAAGCCTGGTGCGTGGCCCTCAGGCGCGGGCCCATGGAGTATAGAATATGCGCTTCGCCTGGGCAGGTTGGCTCGAGCAGGAAGCCAGGTGCGCCCGTTGGTATGTCCAGGTGCCGCGTGCCAGCGCGCGGGCTGTCGCTGGGCATGGCCGTGGTGTCTGGGGCCTTGGAGGCCGGGTAGGCCCGACAGGTCGGGGCAGCGCGGCCTCGACTGGTCGTTGTTGGGCCAGCTGGGGTCGGCTTGCTTTCCCTTTGCCGCGCCCCTTGTCGCGCCGTTGTTCGTTGCGCTGGAGCTGGCGTTCCCACCAGTCCACCTGGACTCTCCTCGACCAGCAGACCCTGCGGATGTCGTAGTGGAAGTAGTAGAGCTCCGCGACAAACGCCCTGCAAAATTCGTCGTACCCCTCGGGGTTGTACGGACCTCTCCCGATGCCTCTGCTGTCCCAGTCGTCGCAGAAGGCGTTCGATCCCTCGACGAAGAAAGCCCCACGTTCCCGCTTTAGCCGGTGGACGACTTCTGGCCAGGTCTCCCAGATGCTGGTTTTGTGCTTCCACGCCTGCTGCCCGGTCACACTTCGGCGGGGCCGAGCGTACAGTGTGTCGTTGGGGTCGTCGTCGCGGATGTAGCTTTAAGTCGGGCGTGTCCCCCTACAGGGGGATTTTGGACGAAAAATAAAAAATACTCAAAAAAACAAATGCTCAAAAATGGTCAAACAAATCGTGCCCAGACTATTTTTTCCTATTTTTGAATATTCCCCCTGTACAGGGACACGCCCAACTTAAATGTAGCTCGGATCGGCCCGCGGAGCACTGTGTCTTCCTCGCACCTGTGAGCCGGCGTGGGGCGGGCCAGTGGTCGGGGAGGAGGCTCCCGACCCTTGGTCGCTGGCCCAGGGGGTCCCGCGGTCAGTCCTGGGGCCGAGGGGTGGGCCTCCGGGTACTCTCGCGCGCCAGTCCTGGGGGTCTTTCGCACTCGCCAAGCCGCTGGGCTCGACCGTCGCGGCTGCTTCGTCTGCTGTGCTGCCGCTGCTGCGGTCGCTGGGCCGGGGCGCGCCCGCACCCGTCCCGGCCACCTCGCCGGCCGCTGCGGGCTGGTCCTCCCGCGGTGGATATGGGTGGCTGGCCGTGCTGCCTCCGCCGGGTCGGTGCTGCTGGCAGCCGCCCGTGCGGAGCCGGCGGCGTGGGGCTGCCCGCCGGGGTGCGTCCGAAGATCACCACGACTCGGATGGTCCTGATCGCAACTCTGCGCGTCCTGCCTCAGAACGGCGCCGCCTGCGAGTTGGCATGCGACAACCGAATAAAGATGATCCAAGCGGTTCGTCGCGGCACAGATACAGAGCTTGCCAACGCGGCGTCCAAAGGCTGCGACTGCGGAGCGCCAGACTCGGGCGATCGCAGAATCGTCCCATGTTGTGGTGCCACGCAGTCTTGGCCACTCGTGCCGAGCCTGCATGGAGTCTGTGAGGTTTTCTCATTCCTGGACTTGGTTCCAGGCACCCTGCAGCCGCCGATGTTGGCAGCATCGTGATGAATATGCAGAGCAGCCCGCACCAGAAGATGGCTTACAACAGCGACGCCTATCGGACTACGACGTCTACGGGGAGAATGTGGGCCATCACTGTTCTCATAGATCGGCGCCGTCGTCGAATGATGTGTTGGACCATGCCATCAAGCGAGTAAGGCTGATTAATGTTGCCGTTGGCACTTCGAAATCTAGGAAGAGGGAGCGACCAGAAAATGCAGAGGCATCCGCATCAGCCGTTATTGTTGACAAGTCTGGGGTCCATGATTTTCGTCATCGTATGGTGGCTCGCAGGTTGCTGTGCAGAGCGCAAGAGCTCGTGCACAAACATTTGGAAGGTGCGCCAGCCACCGACCAAAGCGGGTACAGGCTACCCACCCTGGCTGGAGGGTGATCTGATGCCGAAGGTCAAGACTGAGAGACCTGGCCAGAGAGCAATCCGAGTGGGATAAGAATCGGCCCACCCTTGGATCCGCGGGGGGGTGGGCACGCGCTGTCGGAACCGGTGGAGAGGGGGCGGTGGGTTTGGAGGAGGAGGAGGCGAAGGAGGAGGGATAGGGGGGGTCGGCAAGCTCCGTCTAAAGGTCGATCACCAACCCCTTGACAAGTACGCCATCCAGAATACGCCAGCACGGGTCCAGAGCAGGCTTCGGGGATCCAGACTCGTGTAGTCTGATTTCTGACCACGCGGGCGGCGACTGACTTCTTCCTTGACACCGCCCTGCAAGCTGCTGCGCATCACCATCACCAGCACAATCACCATCACCATCGCCATCCATCTTCACCCCCGTCATCAACATCGGCGTTCGTCTTTCTACTCCTCCTTCCTTCCTTCCCTGCTCCTCCTTCCTCAGCATCATCCGGATCCCCCTCATCCTCCGAACGCACCCACCGTGGCACGTGTTGCCGACCCCCCCCCCTTGAGCAGCCTAGAACATACGTGATCCCTCCCCTCATTTCTGTACTAACCCACACCCGGCTGGCACGTCGAGCATCCTCGCCCTCCCTCTCTCACTCTCTAACCTCCTCTCCTCCTCATCCCTCCTCCTCCCACTGCTCCCTCACTCCTCCTCTCATCTGCGAAGCGGGACCACATGCTGGAGGGGAAGGAGGAGAACGACGACGGCAACAGATATGAGCGCCCCCGCGGTCCTCGTGACACTCGCCCCGGCGCGCGAATGCCTCGGCAGAGGGGCACGATCCACTCCCACCAATCGCAGTTGGGCCAATCGAGACGAGGGCGGCCCTCCCTTGGCGTGTCTCGTCCTTTCGGCGCCTCCTGGGGGCTCCTCGTCGCCGCGACGGGATCCGCCGCCGATTTTGAACGGCCTCGGGCCGCGCGGGAGAGCCGCCGTTGTCTCGACGGGCCCTCCTCCGAACCGAGCCTCTCCAACTCCGGGCCCGGACACGGGCGCACGCGGCCTCCCGGCCAGGCTGGACGCTGGACGCCATCCAGGGCATGGGCCCGTGAGGCGCACAGGTGACGGGCACGGCAGGTTGCTGCCGCGACAGCGTGGGCCACCTGTTGCATTCTGTCGTCCCCGCACGCCGCTCGGGCACCGAATCGTCTCCGCTGCCGGGCCCCCCTCAGCATGCCAGGTGCCCTTCCACCCTGAACGCCCGCAGGCGCGCTGACCTGCCGCGTGGCAAGGCCCAGGGCTGCGCACCGACAGGCCCCCCTCTGGCAGTTCGCCTCGGCTGGCCCCCCCCCAAGGGGCGGCCTGGGGCGGTCCCGACCCCCAGCCCTCGTGGGCGCCGCTGGAGGCGGCGCGGGGGTGTTGAGCCGCCCTGGACCTCCATGGGGGGCCTGCCGAGGCGGCTTTTGTTTTCCCCCCACACACACTTCCCATCTTTTCCCATCTTTTCCGGAGAATCGATGATTGATTGTGTCTGTGTGTTTTCCCCCTCCTGAGCAGCGGGGGGCGGAGAGCCCAGGGAGGAGACTCGCACGCACGGGGCCGGGGGGGGGGGGCTCCGCTCGCCCCCCTGCCTTCGACGAGGCGCCCCGGCGGATGCGTGCAGTGCCCGCCCCTGGGCCACGCACCCGCCCACACCGCAGGAGGGGCCCTGGGCGAAGGCGACCGTTGGTGCGCGGGCTTCGGCGAGGCGCGGGCGGGGGCGGGGAAGCCGAGAGGGCAGGCTGCTGCCATCGCACCGCACCGCAGCGATCGGGGGGCCCCAGGACCCGCACCCGAGGTCACCCGGCGAAGTGTCGCTCCTGCGTGCGTCGATCCACTGCCGTACACTCCCCCCTCCCGGGCGCCGGCGTGGACTTCTCGCGGGCGTGGCCGTCGGAGTCCCTGTTGGACCTCACGCGGCGCAGCGGCGGCGAGAAGTCCTCGGAGTCCACGGAGGCGTCTCTCGGCGCGCCGACTGGCCTCGCGTGGGGCGAGCAGGGAGGCAGGGCGGCTGGGTGGGCGCCCAGCTCCACTTTATTTCTTGCCTCCGCCCCCTTCCTCCGTCCCCCCCGACCTCCCCATCCATCTCTCGCGTTCCTCTCTCCCTCCTCCGACTCCTCCAAGTCCTCCCTCCTCCAATCTCCAGCCTCCAACCTCCCCCCCGCCGCACGCTGCAGCGGGGCCCACGCACTGCAGTGGGGTCGCACAGGGCACGAACAGGTGGAGAGGCGTCGGCATCATCGCAATCTGGGGTACTCCGCCGAACCCAGCGGCCCTAACAAAGACATTGAGACACGAACTTCAAAACCACTGGAACCCTTCATTGCAAAAATACAGGTTCGCCCAAGAACTCTTCAGTCTTTACTGTAACGTTGCAGCTTCTCCCCGTTTCGTCGTACATTGCATCCGAATGAGAGAGAGAGAGAGAGAAAAAAAAAAAAAAAAAAAACGAGAGAGAGATGTGCACAGACATAGTTATAGACACGCTACAGACTCGGAGACAGGTCTCGCCACGCCACACAAAGGCCCCAAGAAAAACCGAAAGACTGACGAAACCTTCAGCGCCGAACCCCGTCCGCCTCAGCGGACATGTGGTCCAAACGACCCACCCCCCCGAAAAGTCTAGACGGGCTTGCGCCTGCGGTGAGGGCCGCTGGGGTGATGCAGTCCTTTAGTCAAATTTAACTTAAGGAGAATGGATGGAGCCTGGTCTGTGCGATTCTGTCTGGGACGTCCTCTAAACTTGCCTGGTTTGGGCCCTGGCTTGGCCTGGGTTGGCCTCGTTGGACCTGGTTGGGCGGCGCGCCCCCCCTGACACATGCTCACAATTTGGCCGGTCTGGGCCCTGGTTTGACTTGGTTTGGGCACGGTTTCGCCTGAGACGTCCTCACACTTTGCATCCTGGTTTGGCCGTGGTTTGGCGTGGTTTAGGCCCAGTTTCGCCTGAGACGTCCTCACAATTTGCCTGGTTTGCCCCTGGTTTGGCTTGGTTTGGGCACGGTTTCGCCTGAAAGTCCTCACAATGTGCCTGGCTTGGCCCTGGTTTGGCCAGGTTTGGGCCCGGTTTCGCCTGAGACGTCCTCACAATTTGCCTGGCTTGGCCCTGGTTTGGGCACGGCTTCGCCTGAAACGTCCTCACCATTTGCCTGGCTTGGCCCTGCTTTGGGCCCAGTTTCGCCTGAGACGTCCTCACAATTTTCTTGGTTTGGCCCTGGTTTGGCCTGGCTTGGGCACGGTTTCGCCTGAGACGTCCTCGCAATGTGTTTGGCTTGTGTTGGTGTCCGTTCGGTTTCGCCTGATACGTCCTTACACCGTGGATGGTTTGGCAAACTCGGGGGCGTCCTTCGCTTGGACGTCCTTGGGGGCAGTGTCGGCGCGGCTGTGGACAAGCGTCGCCTGCGGGGCCTTTGCAACTCCCATGGTTCGACCTGGCATCTTGCACACGCATATCAAGAGACATCTCTGCAATTTGCCCGGCATGGGGCGTGTGGGCATGGCCCGACTCCATCCAAACCGAAAGAACTCGTCAAAAAACATAAGAGTATTCCAACAGGAACTAGGTCTGATAAGGCGCCCCAAGCACAAGTAGCCCAAATGGGCAGTTCCTCTTCAAAACTGTGTCTGTTTGGGGGTGACAGCACTATGTCCCCCAAAGGGGGTGCCGTTGTCTCCCCCCAGTACGTCCCCCTCCCGAAGGGGGGAAGCGCCGCCCTGGGGGCCTTTCCTTGCTTAAGGGGGAGGAGCGGTCGGCCAGACCGAGACACTAGCCAGCAATGGCGCGAGAGCCAACGAGTGGCCGGCATTCGGGCGAGAGCGCACGTCAACGTCGTCGTCGTCGTCGTCGTCGTCGTCGTCGTCGTCGTCTCCGTCGTCGTCGTCGTCGTGGTCGTCAAATTCATCGTCGTCGTCGTGGTGGTCATCGTCGCCGGGGGGCCTGGACGCTCCGGGACACATCGTGCTTTGTCACATGGTGCACAAAAGTGGGTATGTCATTCAATTATACACGTGGTGGGCGGAAACATTCGTGACGATATGGCCCCACTATTTTGCGACCCGTATAACAGGCGAAGTGGGCATGAACATAGGAAGCGCAGTGTGCTTGGCCAATGTATCACATAGCGCAATCATCGATCACAGAATTCCTGCTGCCATGCGGCATTGGACCATGTGGCAGCGCTAGGAGAAAACAAACAAAAAAAAGCTGTAGAGCCACGCGAGCTTCGCGCGCGCTTAGGTTCTAGCGCAACCCAAGCCAACCTCAAAGGATCGGATGAGGATGGACGTAATCCAGCAATGGTCACCAGATTGAGCGTGTTTCCTGGTGGACGCTTCAGGAGTCGCTGGACACAAAACTCCAGGAAGTCGCGCAAGGCAGGCACGAGGACCCAGGGCGGGATGCCCAAGAGCCCCTAAGAGCCTGGCAAAACCATGTTGGGATTCTCTTCGGACGCCTTCGGGGGTCGCTTTTGGAGGGCTCTTGGGGGCGGTGGGGCTTCTCCGTTGTTCCCCATATCCTACATGGGGTTCTTGTTTCCTCTGAGCACTCCGCGCAGAGTTCCCACCACACCCTTCTTTTCCAACACCACCTCCCACACTCATCACGACCATTCATCATGACATCTCACGCTCACCACAATTCTAATCACCGCAAGCACCATCAGCAGCCACATGAGCATCATACTCATCAGTTTCCTCATCATCATCGTCACCATCGTCGCTATCATCATAATCATAAACGTTATCGCCAACATCAGCATAATAATCATCAACAGCAACTTCATCATCACCATCGGCATGATTACCAACCTCACACCACTACCACCACCACCATCATCATCACGATCACTGCCCCACAATGATCAGCAGCCATCACCAGCATCACCACCACCATCATCATCACAATAATGATCATCATCGCAATCACCACCATGATCCCCATCACACTCATCAGCAAAAGCATCATCACTGAGACATGCTTGCTTCGTCTGTGAATGAATTAAGAGGAAGTCTCAGGCGAGAGCCCCCCTGCGGGCTATCGGACAACTCTACCAGGCAAAACAACTGAGCACCACAAATGGGCACATCGTGAGGATGACTCGAGCAGGGGCCTCGTCTGTCAATGACTTACGTGGGAATCTTCGGCCGGAGCCATCCCTCCCCCCTGCCCCCGTTCCCAATAGCTGAATCAAATCAGATTACTCGTTCATCACGCTTATGTTGGCCAGGGTGAATAGCTGTTGGCTAAATTAATCAAGCGCCGACTAGCGCTAATTATCTTTAATCCGCATAGTACTAGCGCGACCCAACATATTGATTGAATGTAAGTATGTGTAGTTGGTATAGTTATGATGTTGGTTAAATTTGACTACGCTTACGGGCTAAAACAAATATAATTAGATGTGTTGTGTACTATTGCTCACGCGACTTGAACATAGCCATGTTAACTGTGCATAACTATGTTGTGTGTAACATGTCGTTGGGTGTTCGAGTGCGTACGCCCTCATACTCTTCATCCTCCTCGTTTCCCCCCCCCTTCCATCCCCCTGCCCCTCCATCCCCCCACCCCCCCTGCCCCTGATCATGCCCCCCCCTCTCCTTCCCCCCCCCTTCGCTCCCCACTCGATTCAATGATCGCTGGCGCTACCCCCCTCCGTCCTCTGCTCTGCGCTGGTTTGAAACCATTTACCCCATCATCATCGGGCCCCCCCCATAACATCATCACCATCGCCATCGCAGCCGCCATGCGCCAGGCCGTTTTTCAGACCTCCGCCATGCTGCAGCCTCCGCGGGCGCTCGAGACGCCGCCTCCACTGCGCCGCCGAGGCGGCCGGCGGCAACGGATGGACACGGAGGAGCTCGACGCCGCGGCGGCGACTGCTGGCCCGCCGCCGACAATCTCCCGATTGTTCGGCAATCAACTGCTGGCCTGGTGCGAGGGCACCATAAGCGCACAGCGGCTGCAATGCTCGGCGCGCCGCGGCGTGGACGACGACGACGGCCCCGCCCACCCGATGCTCGCGAGGTCGTCGCGGCTTCGAAGCGACCAGAACGCGCAGGCCAGTCTGATGGATCTCTTGCAGACCACTGGCGTTCCGCGGCTGATCACGGCGCACCCCAGCGAGCAAGCGCGCCGCGCCGCGCTGCCATCATCGTGGCTCGGCGCGCCGCACGGACACCTGCGCGAGCTCCGCCCGCGCCTCGGCGCGGACAAGGTCAAGTTGCGCGGCTTTGGCAGGACTTCTCGAGCAGGCCCGCCAATGCCGATCTCAGGGTCAACCGCCCCGTCACGGGCGGCACGGGCATCGACGAGCTCGGGACGGCAGTCCCCCTCGCGACACACGCTGGCGCGGGGCCCTACTCGAAGAAGTCCGCGCGCTACGTCGCCAATTCTGGGCCCCTCGTCGGCGTCGGGGAGGCCGAGCTGTCCAAGTTCACGCGTGCCTCCTGCGCGCAGCGGCCTGGCCAATCGGACGCCCCCCTCTGGCGGCACCACGCGCTCGAAGACATGACCGCGCCAGGCCCGGGCCATGCCGGACGCAGAACAATTGCGCGCGACTCCGACGGCCCTCTCTGGGAAGCCTCGCTGGTATTTGTCAATTGCGATGAGGACTCGCGAGCAAATTATTTCCGGCTGGCGCTCTTCTCAGCGCGCAGCAGGGCGCGCCCCGTCCGCCTCGCCAGCCGCGCGTCGCGGCCATTCGCTCACATGACGGATGGCGCTGCAGGGGCAGGAAGGGCGGGAAGGAGGAGAAGGCAGACACCATTATTGTCATCATCATCACCACCATCGTCCCCATCATCGTCGCCGTTTGGTGGTGTTGATGACACCCCACGCTAGTGGAGGATGCTGTTGATGCTTATATTTTGTGCTTTCTCCAGGCTAAGTTCGGCGGGCTGACCTCGTTCTGGAGCTCGCGCGGGTCTGATGTGGCGACTGATGTGCTCCAAAAGCCAATGGGACTTGCGACCGTCAGCGCCGCGAACCTCAAGAGTAGGTCAGCCACCTCGGCTGCGTCAGGTGTCTGACCCTGCAGCCACGGCGGCCAATCGGACGGCGGCGTTGTCGAAGACGCCGCTGTCGGCGAAGGTGCTGGAGTCGAAGGTGCTGGCGGAGGCGCTGCTAGCGAAGGCGCTGCTGGCGAAGGCGGTGCTGGCGAACGTGCTGGCGAAGGCGACGCCGAAGATGCTGCTGCTGTCGACAGCGCCGCCGAAGATAATGTCGTTGCCGCCCCTATCTCCGCGCATGCTCTGGCGCACTCGAGGCCAATCGTCCTCTCCTTGTTCTGCGGGTGGGCCGCCTTCATGTGCAAGTGCCCGCTCATACCGAACCGCTTCTGCTGGTTGAAGTCTACCACGTCGCGTCCGAAGACGCGCTCGTCGTGCCACCAGATCTTCCGCTCCTTACTGCTCACCCCGATCTCGCCGAACATACTCATGGTCTTTTCGGGCACCGCTGGAGTTCCAAGGAACGGGCTCTGGCTCCAATTCAAGGACGGCCGCTCCACCAAGCCCTGCTGCTCGCCGTCGGGCTGATGCTTGACGTGCAGCGGCCACAACTGCCAAGTGCCATCCCGTCTCTGCTCGAGGACCTTCGCGACCTTGTTGGGAGGGTCCTGCTTCTCGACTTGGCGCTGCAAGAGCAGCGCAGGAAGTGATGCGAGGGGCTTCTCGTCGTGCTGCTGCTTGTCGTCGTGCTGCTGCTCGCTGTCGCGCTGCTCGCCGCCGTCGTGCCACTGCTTGTCGTGCTTCGCCATGATCCGCCGCTCCCGCTTTCCACGAGGTCCTCGGGAGGTGACGCCTTCGGCGCCGCGGGCGGCGCTCTGGACTTGAGCAGCAACCGCTGCACCGTCGATGCGGCCTGCAATCGCGGCGGCATCGTCGCCGCGATCCTCACTCGCCCCACTGCCTTCACTGGCCTCACTGGCCTCGCTGGCCTCACTGGCCCCACTGGCCTCACTGGCCTCATGGCCTGTGCTGCGGCCCCACAAGTCTCACTTGACTACCTACCAGACCACCACAACCCAACCCGAAGACCCGACTTTGACCCGAATTTCGGGTTGGGGGGGGGAGACGGATACCATGTGTTTTTTCAACGTTCCCCGACCCCCCCCCCACTGGAAATGGAAGGCAAATTGAGGGCTTCGGGTTGGGTTGGGGTGGTTTGGTGGGTGGTGATCACTGGTCTCACTGGCTTCGGCGCCGCCTGCGGCTGCCGCGCCGTGGACGTCAGCGCCCAATGGGCGCTGACGACTGCGCGGCAGGCCTGCACTGCGGCTGCGACGCCTGCGACCCCTGGAGCTCCGACTCTGCGGCTGCGACTGCGGCTGCGACGCGGATGGACTGCGGCTGCGACGCGGATGGACTGCGGCTGCGACGCCTGCAGGGCCTGGACTGCGGCTGCGACGCTGGTGCCTCCATTGGGCCACCTCCGCTGCGGGCACCTCCCGCGGGCTTGGCGGCGGCTCAGACGAACAGTGCTCGGCCGAAGACGGCGAGGGCTCGAACGTCGGAGACAACGACGCCCCCAACCTCTTCAACCCGATGGTTCGGGCCCGCGGGTCCCGAGAGGGGACCTCCAGCTACATTGGGCCGCCAAGGAGGCAATGGCTACGGTGTGATGGTGATGATGATGCTAATGATGATGAGGAGGATGTGTGAGGTGATGATGAGAAGCTCCGAAGGGTAGTAATCAACACAACTATACATAATCACCATGGTTTAAGATAACCCTGATCATCAAATTGCATTCGCATACATGCCGCTAACTGGCGCGAATCAAAAACATACGTAAACCTAACAAATTTAGTCATGTTGACAGTAGTGATAAGCAACAACACAAGTCAAACTTAAGAAGTGTAAGCATGTTCCACCACGCTGAATCAACAACCCATCTAGCGTTGATGGGGATGTAGTAAGCTGGTCAAACTCAGCTACTGGGCTACGGGGGCGCATATCATGTTGGTAATCCGAGTGGGTCATCTGAAAATCCCACCAGGCATAACAGTTAAGCGGCCAAGGGACGCAAATCGTGAGGATGTCTCAAGCGGTGGCCTCGTCTGCGAATGAATTGCGAGGGCCCCCTCCCTGTGGGGCCGAATCTCATGTTGAAAATCCGAGCGGGTCATCGGAAAACCTGTAACTGTCGTCACTGTTGGGCTCCTCAAGCCTGAATATGGCAGAAGTCTCGAGCGGGAGCCTCGTTCGTAAGCGAAGCGCGAGGAAGTCTCGAACGGGAGCCCCCTTTGTCTGTGGCCTGCAGCTCATGCTGTCAATCAGAGCAGGTCCTCGGGATCTTGTAACTGTCGGCATCGTTGGGTTCCTCCGGAATGGCGGCTGATAGCAAGGCCCCCAGGCTCCGACTGAAGTCTCAGGCGGGATCCCCTCCCGATGAAGCCCGCGGATCATGCTGGCAAGCCACATCGGTCATTGGCATATTGTAACAGGCATACCACTTGAGCACCCCAAGAGCGCAAGTCGCGAGGATGTCTCGAGCGGGTGCCTCGTCTGTAAGTGAATAGCGAAGAATAATCAAGCGGGGGGGCTATGGGTCCCACAGATCATGTTAGCAATCCGAGCGGGTCATTGGCCTGTACTGTAGCACCCCAAGGGGGCAGATCGTGAAGATGTCTCGAGTGGGGGCCCGTGTGTGAATGAATTGCGAGGAAGTCTCAGGTGAGAGCGCCCATGCCTACGGAGCCCGCCCTTCATGTTGGCAATCCGAGCAGGTCATCGGGATACGGCACCAGGCATAACAATTGCGCACCCCAAGGGCGCAAGTCGTGAGGATGTCTCCGGCGGGGGCCGCGTCTGGGAGAGAAGCAGGGGCGCCAATCGCGAGGATGTCTCCAACAGGGGCCTCGTCGGTGCGAGGAGCGCGAGGACGTCTCGAGCGGGACCCCTCTCACTATGGGGCCCGCACTTCATGTTGGTACACCGGGCGGGCGGTCGGATAACTCTACCAGGCAGAACACTCGAGCACCCCAAGGGGACACATCGCGAGGATGCTTCGAGCGGGAACCTCGTTTGTGAGTGGATGGCGTGGACGTCTCAGGCGGGAGCCCTCCCCCTAAGGGTCCCGCAGGTCATGTTAGCAATCCGAGCGGGCCACGGGTCTCATGACATTGAGCGCCCCGAGGGCGCAAATCGTGAGGATGTCTCGAGCGGGGGCCTCGCTTGTGAGTGGGTAGCAAGAAGTATCGGGCGGAAGCCCCTTCCCGATGGGGCCCGCAGCTCATGTTGGCAGGCGTGTCACTTGAGCACCCGAAGAGCGCAAGCCGCGAGGATGTCTCGAGCGGAGGCCTCGTTTGTGAGCACTGTGCACGGCAGTCTCAGGCAGGAGCCCCCTCCCTATGGGGCCCGCACTTCGTGTTGGTAATCCAAGCAGGTCCTTGGCCTACTGTAGCAGGCATGGCACGCGTGCACCGAAAGAGCGCAAGTCGTGAAGATGTCTCGAGCGGGGGGCTCGTCTGTGCGAATTGCGAAGAAGTCTCAGGCGGAACCCCCATTCCTCTGGGACCCGCGGATCATGTTAGTAATCCGAGCGGGCCATTGGCATACCGTATCAGGCATACCAGCTGTGCAACCCAATGACGCGAGTCGTGAGGCTGTCTCGAGCGGAGCCCTCGTCTGTGAGTGTACCGCGAGGAAGTCTGAGAGCCCAAGGGCACAGGTTGAGCCTCAATACGCCCCCACATCAAAACCAAGTGCGCTGAAGGGGCACAGTAAGAAAACAAACCACACAACGATCACGGGCGAGGGTGAATCAACAATGATAACTAATGCGAGATGAATAACTAGTAAAACGGCTGCGACCACCACCACTGTTAAGATTCACTCCGTCCCTCTCGCCCATCCCTCTTCACTGTTCCCCCCCCCCCCCCCTCCACCTCACCCTCCTCCCCCCCCCCCATCCACCTCACCCTCCTCCCCCTCGTCCACCTCATACCCCAAGAGATCACGTGGCCTCGTCTCGTCGATGCCGTCGAATTCTGCTGATGGGCCCGTGTCCCTGGCCAAGCAGGGAGAGGCAGGGGGCGGGCAGGAGAATGCACTGCGCGGGAGGGAAATCAAAGAGGGAAGTGCAGAAGGGGCTGGGGAAAGTGTCAGAAGGAAGGGAAACAAAGGGAAGACCAGGGCAGGGGATTGCGGGGACAGAGAAGAGAGAGGAGGAGGAGAAGGAGGAGGAGGAGGAGGAGAAGGAGGAGGACAGGGAGGAGGAGGGGGAGGAGGAGGGGGAGGAGGAGGAGGAGGAGGAGGAGGAGGAGGAGGAGGAGGAAAGAGGAGGAGGAGGGGGAGGAGGAGGGGGAGGAGGGGCAGGAGGAGGAGGGAGGAGGACGAGGAGAAGGACGAGGACGAGGACGAGGAGGAGGAGGACGCCGAGGACGAGGATGATTATTGACTAGGGGGAGGAGGGAAACGAGGAGCTAAGGGGAAGGGCGAGAAGTAGGGTGGGGAAAAAGGAGAGGGGAGAAGGGAAGAAGGAGTGCGGAAGGGGAGCAGGTGGGACAGGAACAAGAGGGGAGGCCGAGAAGGCGGGAGATGAAGCGGCGGGAGGAGAAGCAGCCCCGCCTGAGCGGAGCAAAGGCCGCGGGAGGGGCGGACGAAGGGGGGGGCGATCGAAGGAAAGCTCAGCCGAAACATGCGCCCAAAACTCCATGCCCAACACTAGGCGGAGGATGAGGAGGACGGAGGAGGAGGATGTTGCAGGCCCAAAAGGCAGAACAAAACCGTGGCGCTCAGCAAAGCGCGGGCCAACGTGCCCTGGCCAACGGCCAAAGTGGCCAACGGCCAACACCAAGGGCACACGCGCAAAAAGAGGGGATCACGAACACAAGCTGGGACCTGACCTCCGGCCTCCTTTCCTTGACTAACTCCCAATAGCGCCAGAAACGCTGTGCCTTAGGGAGGAAATCAAGGAAAAGAAAGCAAACCAAGGACCGCCCTACACCCCGCGCCAAAATGGCGCACGGGGGTTCGGGACCGGCGCCCAAGGGACAATACACGGAGCGTTGCCCAGCGCCCGCACCCTCACAAGCACGGCAACAGTGTGCCCGCGGCAAAGAGCACTGCAACCAAGAGGTTACAGGCGGAAAGCCGCGGGCCCCGCCTCCGTGGTCGTCAAACGGCGGTACACCTCAGACCAGGAGGTGCCACTGGGGTCTTCCCGCGCCCAGGCCGCACCTCTTGGCCGAGGTGGCAGGGCACTGAAAGCCCCGGCCTGACAGCTGCAACGGCAACAGCAGCGGCAGCAGGGAGGGGGAGGGGGAGGGGGCCACTCTCCGGCCCAGGAGCGCAAACAACGTCCACCCTGGAACCTAATCCAGGGCCGTGCCGCAACTGCCAAAAAGGAAAAGGGCGACGGACATGACGACGAAACGAAACACGAAGGACGACAACGAACGACCACGAACCTCCCAGCGGGAGGTGCCGCCCTCCGCCCTATCCTTATCGCACCCGGAACGCGGGCGGGATAAGGATCTGACATCATCGGACCCACACCGCATTCAGGCGGTGCCACACGGAGCCCAGGCAGCACCGCTTATCCGCGGTGGCGAGGCATTTGAAAATTGCCTCGGCCTGACGGCACGGAGGAGGAGGAGGAGGAGGAGGAGGAGGAGCAGGAGCAGGACGGAGGAGGAGAGGGAGGATGACTACACCACAGAGCACGTGGGAGGGTGTGAAGGGGAGAGAAAGGCGAGCGACAAGGCGGGCACGCCTGGTAATACATCGCAAGCCGGCACAGCTGAAGAGCCCCTCCGCCACGCACCCTCGTCGCCGTGCTCCTCGTCCTCCTCATCCTCCTCATGGCCGGAACAGTCCTCCTGTTCCTGCCCCCCTTGCCTCTCCCCATCCTCCCGCTCCTACGCAAATGAGCATCCTGCTCCTGCTGCTGCTGCTGCTGCTGCTGGTTGCCCCTGCTCCTCCCCTGCCCCATCCCCCTTCTCCCCTACGGGGAATACCCCTCCCCCTCCCCCCAAATCTCGGCCGCGCCCCTGGCTCCTCGCGATGAGCGTGCGCATCTTCTGGCCAGCATCCTGGTGGCCGCCGCTGGTTTAACCCTCTTCCTGCAGGCGTTAGAGTGAACTATCCAATCATCATCTCCAGCGTCTCCAACCTCTCCTCGGCTTCATTCCCAACTACTTGCGCGTAGAAAAATCCGAATGTTGATTCCTCCCCAATGCCATCCGTTGTGAACACTACCACGCAACAACTTCGGCAATGCATGGTACCTCCCTGCTGTGGGAGCGGCAGAAACGGCACTGGGACTTTCATGTATCTCACAGGCCGAGACACGGTGGCACATAATGGCAACCATCGGTTCGCAACCCTTGGTCGCAGCCCTATCCTGGGGAGACAAAACGCGTCATCTCTGAATAAGCCTTGTGGCAGAGGCCCACAGACTTGATCGCGACGCATCGTGGCGGCACCCTGCTCACCCGATGTGGGATCAGGGTGAGCCCGCCCATGCAGTACGCAGGGCGGAGATGCAGGAGGATGGCGTCTGGAATGCATCCTCCACCCCCGCCTCCACCTCCTCCTCCTCCTGCTCCTCCTCCTTCTCCTCTTCCTCCTCCTCCTCCTCCTCCACTCCTGCTCCTTATGAATAGCTCCTCCCTGTCGCACACCGACGCCAGTCGAAAGGACGGGCCGGGCGGTTCGCCTGAAACTTCCTCATCAGGTGTGGCGCTGAACCTTAAACATTTGTGACAAATTCAAGGGCGGGTGGTTTTCAAGATGTGGTTCTCGCCCTAGCGCCGCGCACATTCGTATTAAAAATGCACAAAAGCCTCAAGGACTGATGGCGGTACGTTTTCATAATGTGGTTCCCGCCTTAGCGCCACACACATTCGTTGCAGGAAACTGCAAGAGCTTCATTAATTGAGGGCGGTTCGTTTTCAAAATGTGGCTATCGCCTGAGCGTCGCGCACACTCGTCTTAAACAATGGCAAGAGCTTCATGGATTGAGGGCGGCTCATTTTCAAAATGTGGCTCTCGCCGTAGCGCCGCGCACATTCGTCCCAAACATTTGCAAGAGTTTCACGGGTTCCCATGGTCACCATACCAGAAACGGTGTTTTGAAACGATTCAGGCTTGTCAGGGCGCAACAGTTACGTTGATCCGCGGTGTCCAAGTCCCAGGAATGATGTTCTGGCACGGTTCAGGATCCTCAACTGATTCGTGGCGTTCGAGTCTCGAGGATTGTGTTCTGGCACGCTTCAGGATCTTCAAACGGTTGTCGCCCAACGGGGCACTTCCCTCAGTGGAAATGAAACCTTTTAGGGGCCTCCGAGGAGGGAGCTTAGAGGGGGTGATTCCAACATCGCTGATGAGTCTCAGGTTTACACTGCTCCTCGTTATCCCCCTCCTCTTCCTCATCAGCATCATCATCATCATCATCATCATCATCATCATCATCAGCAGCAGCAGCAGCAGCAGCAGCATCCTCATCATCCTCATTGAATTCATTCCCATTATCATCCCAATCCTCACCACCTCCACCACCACCACCACCACCATCATCATCATCATCATCATCATCATCATCATCATCATCATCATCATCATCATCATCATCCGCGTCATCGTCATCATCCGCGTCATCATCATCATCATCATCATCATCATCATCATCATTATCATCATCATCATCATCATCATCATCATCATCATCATCATCATCATCATCATCATCATCATCATCATCATCATCCGCGTCATCATCATCATCATCATCATCATCATCATCATCATCATCATCATCATCATCATCATCATCCGCTTCATCATCATCACAATAAAACCCATCCTAACTCCCCTCCTCCTGATTAAACAAAATCCCCTCTACTTCTCATCCCCCCTCCCTCCGGGAGAGAGAGGGGGTAGGGGGAAAGACGACGACGAGAATGTTATATGGGAAAGTCAAGATGGTCCCGTCAAGCGCATGCACCAGGAGGCTGAAGAAAAATGGGTGCAACCCCGCGCCCCCATCTGAGGAGGAGGGGGAAGTTAATTGTTTGATAATTCCGAGGAAACATGAAGTGTCCTCGCACCTCCTGCACCTCGCCCCTCCCTCCCTCTTCCCATCCTCCCTCCCGAATCATACATCCCTCCCCCTCCCTTCTACCTCCCTAATCATCCCTCCTTCCCCCGCCCCCCTCCCTCCTCCCTCCCGAATCATCCCTCCCTGCCCAACTCTGAACAATGTGCAGGAGGATAGGGCCCAGCGTTCCCAGCCCCTGCTGCTAGACTGCCGCGTCCATCGCCCATCCCGGCTCGAGGCGTTGTTGGACGGGCTTCTGCCTCTCTGACAAGCCTGCCGGTTTGCAGGCAGGCGCGATACTGGGGCTCGCGGCTGCTGCGCAGTGGACACAAGGTGCCCTACTCCTTCATTGTCACGGTTATCGAGATCCGCGGGCACCCTTGTGTGGCCATCAGGCTGCGTGGGTTGCGCTTGCTGCTCACTGCTCCAGTTGCAGCTTAAGTCTCCCATGATATAGTCCTACTTCCTACCTCTTACTGTAACCTGTTGAAGTCCGCGCGAGAGGGGAGAGCCCCAAACCAGATTTGACCATGCCCAAGTCAAATTGCTACATTCCTGCGGGGCCGTGGGACATTCAAAAATACATCAAACTCGCGCCCCCGAGGCCACGATCCCTTGTAAACTACACTATGTTCGTGTCGGCGGGACCACGATCCTTCGTCAATTACGCGATCTCCGCGCCCCTGGGGCCACGATCCGAGTGCATTGCTTCACGTTCGCGTCCCCAGGGCCGCGATCCTTTGCAAATCAAAAAGTTCTCACGTCCCCGAGGCTGCGCGATCCCCTGTATATTATGTATTATTCGGGTCTCCCGGGGCCACGACCCCTCGTACATCGTATTCGCGTCCCCGAAGCTCCGATCCTTCGTAAATCACACGATCTTCGCGTCCCCGAGGCCACGATCCTTCGTTAAATGACACCATGCTCGCGTCCCCGAGGCCACGTTCCCTTGCAGATTATGGCATGTTCGCGTCCCCCAGGCCACGATCCCCAAACCTTACGCTGCATGCGCTTCGCCCAGACCACGACCCCCTGCACGTTAAACAATACGCGGCGTCGAAGGCGCAGGCCCAAGGGCCAGCTTCCGCGCCAGACCGGTATTCCGAAACGGCCGAGCGCCTGAGCCCAAATGGCCACAGACATCGGGCAGGGAAGATAGGGAGCCCACAAAGGACGCACGCGCCGCGCTATGTGCATGAACACGGCCCAATTGACCCGCGAGACTGGCCGCGCGGTGCGAACATTCGCGCAATGCGAACTCTCGAAATCAGCGTGGATTCATGTACTTGTACGTCCTTCTTTCGCTGCTGAGAAGAAGATACACGTTCGTGCTAGCACACGGGGGCAAATTCGTGTGCCTACGACTCTCCTTCATACCATGATACAGTCCAGTGGTGCCGTTGCCTCTCCGGCGTATGGATTTCAAGCACAAGATTTGAGCGAAGGACCCAGCCATTGCAGCTGTGAGCACCGCAGGGCAGGCGGAACGATAGAGAGGGAACTCCCTATGGGGCCACGAACCGCGTGAGACGGGTGAACCGCGTGCGGGGTGTGCCAACATGAGGCAGGTACCGCATGCGGGCTGTGGGGGAGTCGCATGCGACGACGGCCGCTGTGACCTTCGGTGGAGCTCCTTCTGGGGCCACGAAGCGTGCGAGGGGCGTGCCCAAATGGGTGGGGGAGGCAGGCGTGAGTACGGCCGCAGGGACCTTCGGTGGAGCTCCCTATGGGCCGCGATCCTCGTGAGGGGTGTGCCGAAATGGGTGGGTCGGACGCATGCGGGCGGCGCCCCTGGGACCGTCGGTGGAACTTCCTATGGGGCCGCGCGAAATGTGTGAGAGGTGTGCCGATACGGGTGTGTCGGACGCGTGCGGGCTGCGCCCCTGGGATCTTCGGTGGAGCCCCGTATGGGGCCGCGGTCCTCGTGAGAGGTGTGCCGAAATGGGTGGGTCGGACGCCTGCGGGCGGCGCCCCAGGGACCTTCGGTGGAGCCCTCTTATGGGGACACAATCGTCGTGAGGGGTGGGCCGAAATGAGCGGGTTGGACGCACGCGGGCGGCGCCCCTGGGACCTTCGGTGGAGCTACCGATAGGGCCAAGATCCGTGTGAAGGGTATGCCGAAATGGGTGTGTCGCATGCGAGACCGTCGGTGGAGCTTGGGGCCACGTAACGTGTGAGGGGTGTGCCGACATGGGTGGCAATGATGATGGTGATGGTGGCATCGATGATGATGACGATGATGATGATGCTGCTGATGATGGTGATGATGATGATGATGCTGATACTGGTGGTGATGATGGTGATGATGATGATGATGACGGTGGTGAGTATGATGATGCTGGTGATGGTGATGACGATGATGATGATGCTGCTGCTGATGATGATGATGCTGATAATGGTGGTGATGATGGTGATGATGATGATGATGATGATGATGATGATGACGGTGGTGAGTATGATGATGCTGGTGATGGTGATGACGATGATGATGATGATTATGCTGATGATGCTGATGATGATGGTGATGATGATTCTGATGATGATGATGATGATGATGATGATGACGATGATGATGGTGATGATGGTAATGTTGGTTATTATGTGGATGCTGATGACGATGAGAACATGCGGGGGGCAGAGGCAAGGGATAGGAGGAGGGGGAGGAGGAGAGGCGGAGAGGAACGCGGGGCGCTTCCTCTTCAAAACGATGGCCCAACACCACAGGATGGTTGGGAACAGGACACGATAGGAACACGATCGGCCCGTCAGGACATGAAGCACCCCTTGCAGCGTTGGCCGCACTTCGGGATCGGCGCTTTGCATCTGTCGTTCAAAGCTGTGTTCACGACCCAGCACAAGCCACATGTCTAGATCCGAGTCATTCCTCGTCGCTGCTTCCCCTCATCAGTCGTCCCGAAGTCCTCTTGCTCCTCCCACTCATTCTGCTCCTCATGCTCCTGGCGCTCCTGCCGCTCCTCCTCCTCCGCCTCCTTCACTTCCTGTCTCTCGCCCTCCTCCTCCTCCTCCTCCTCCTCCTCCTCCTCCTCCTCCTTCTCCTCCTCCTCTTCCTCTTCCTCTTCCTCCTCATCATCATCACCATCACCATCACCATCACCATCACCATCACCATCATCATCGACATCAACATCATCATCATCATCATCATCATCATCATCATCATCATCATCAGCATCATCATCATCATCATCATCATCATCATCATCGTCATCATCATCATCACCATCATCACCATCATCATCATCATAATCATCACCATCATCACCATCGTCATCCTCATCTTCATCCTCATCCTCCTCCTCATCCTCCTCATCCTCCCACATACTGATGATTATCATATTCCTGCTCATCCTTCTGATCATCCGCCACCTCCTCCCTCAACCCCCTTTTGTTTTGGCATCATGCGAGGAGGTCAGTTGGGGGACCAAGGCCCTCTAGGAACCACATTCGCTAAAGAAATGTTCAGCTCTGTGTCCGCGGTCCTCGCAATACCGATGACGAGGCAGCGCCGAGAAAAACGAATGCTGAGGCATGCATGCTTCTCCGCAGCCATGTCTGACGAGCGAAGCTGGGTCGCGAAATGCATCACTCTGGTTACGCACAACTCTGTGCCCCAGGGTTCTTGAAAAAGAGTCTGATTTGAGTGTGCACACCAGTCTCAGCATTCATTACTGTCTTTGCCTTCGATCATTTTGGATTGTGGAGCTGATGCTGCTTGTTGCGCTGATAGCAAGAATAACGAGATTGCAAGGCATGGGCGGCGCAAGCAGGCTTTCAGACATTCGTGGGTGGGCAGAACCCCATTTTGCAAAACGTCCTTTAGTGTAAGCTGCCGTGTCGCATTCAGCATGCATCCCAACCGGGTACGACGTCCCAACATCCGAAGATATCTGGCAAATCGCACGTCGATTAGCGAAACCGGCTGTGGACTGCACCAGTACACACGCCAATGTCGAGTGAACCCGTGCAGAGTTCCTCAAGTCGACTTGTCTGGGGGGGGGTTCTGTCAATGCCCGAGATGTGGCGCGAAAGCTCCTAGCTTGTCGCCCCTCCCCTCGCCTCCCACATCCCTGCTCACGTGCACCCAAGGCGCTCCGCAGCGCTCCAGCTACCCCTCCCAACATCCAGAGAGCGAAGAGAGCAGCGGCCACGAGGGCCTGGGCGTCCTCCTCCCCCTCCTCCCTCCCTCTGCCTCACTCCCCCCTCGCCCCCCCCCCTCCCCCAAGCCTCCCTATCTACCCATCTGCCGCGAGAAAGCCCCCCAGACATGCAACGTCTTGAGTTGTTCGATACGGGGTCCCTGGAAGTCCCGACCTTTTCCCTGGGACCAGCTTTTCATCCTAAGTCGTGTTTGACGGTCCCGAGGCCCAGCGAGGGCCCCCCGAGGCCGAAATTGGCCAGAAACTTCCCGTCCTGATTTCTGCACGACGCGATCGCGTCTGGGCCCCGAGCTTCCCTCCTCCCACCTGCCCGCTCCTCCCTCCTTCCTCGCCTGCCAGCGGTGGCAGCTCAAACGGCGCCCGATCCCGGCGGAAGACGTCTGGCGGGCTGCTCTGCGCTCCAGCGGACGCCGGGTCGTCTGGCCGCTCGGGGCCCCCTGTTTCCTGCGGGCAGCGCAGGGAGACGCAGGAAAGAGGAGGGGGAGGAGGGGGAGGAGCAAGGGGAAGGGGAGGGAGAGGAGGGCAGGAGGAGGAGGAGGAGGAGGAGGGGGCGAAAGATGAGGAGAACGGCTCTTCCGTCCAGGAGAGGGAGGAGTGAGTAGTACTCTTATATCGTATGTTTTGCCTATGCTTGCCACCTTTCTGTGCCCGCTGCGCTCGCCAAACTGATTTGTTTGACCCTTGGCCTAAGTCGGCCTCATTATTTTCCTGGCCACAGAACGCCACGATCATCAGATCCAGGTCCGTGCAACGTCAAAAAGGGGGAGGGAGTAAGGAGAAGGGGAGGGGGAGGAGGGCAGGAGGAGAAGGAGGAGGAGGAGGAGCACGGCTCTTCCCTCCAGGAGCGCAGCTTGCAGGTATCGCGTGTCGTGAAGCGTTTGTTTGCTAAGCCTGTTTATGTGAATCCAGGGCGTTCAAATCCATGGAGCACTCCACCCCTTACGTTCTTGCGAGTGTGCCAATCGCAGGGGAAGTCCACACGAGGAAAAAGAGTGTGCCTCCAGGTGCATTGCACTGTGGCTTCCTTCCTGGATGCAGGGTCTGATCCATCCACTTCGTGAGGGTAGAGGGAGGAGCAGAAAGGGGAGGGGGAGGGAGAAAAGAAGAGAGGAGAAAGAGGGGGAGAAGGAAGAGGAGGAAGAAAAATAAGAAGAAGAGGAGAAATGAGAAGGAGCGGCAGAAGGAGGAGGAGGAGATGAGGATGGACAAGGGAGGTGGACGGAGAGAAGGAAAAAGGAGGGGGAGGAGGAAGAGAATGAGGAAGAGGAGGAATAAGGGGAGAAAGGGGAGGAAGAGGAGGAGCAGGAGGGAAGGAGGGGAAACAAAGGAACGGGGAAGATAGCAGCAGGAGGGGAAGAGGGAAAGGAGTCCAAAGGAGGGGGAGAAGGAGAGGGAGAAGATCAGTGGAGGGGGGCGAGGAGGAGGAGGAGGTAAAAAAGAACGAGGAAGGATGAGGAGTGAGGAGCGACCCAGCCACGCTGGAAGGGACGGACAGCCTTAAGAGCAGGGACGAAGGAGACCGGCCTGGGAGACACAAGAACGCCCGCTGCCCTTCGAGGAGGGTGCTGCTCCGACTCGCACGATGCAGGGCTCCAGCGCACACTGGGGCGAGCACAGTGGAGGAGGAGGAGGAGGAGGAGGAGGAGGAGGAGGAGGAGGCGCCCTGGTGTGATCGCGCGAGCATGCCCGAAACTACTCCACGGCGGTTGGTGACTGTGTGATTTAGATTTAGGTCGTGTTGTGAGACCCAGATCGGCTTATCACATGAACGATCTAAGAGATTCAAGCAGCATCGGCCGAAAGCCCCTTTTTCTGGCGAATTCGGGAAACGCTGTATCCTAAGTAGATCAAGGAGGGAAGAAGCGGGAAGGACACGGCCAGGAGAAAGAGAGAGAAAGAGAGAGAAAAAAAAAAAAAAACACAAAAAACAACACTCTAGCAAATGGTGTATGTTATCCTTTTGGGGGCATGGCACACGCCACATAGCGATGAGCTGGGCCGCGAAATCTGGATGAAGTTGTCCACACGCTGCACACCTGTTCGAAACAAACTGACAATCCGGCGGCATGCGCTGGTGTGGCATGATACCGCGGATATATATTAAAAACTGAATGCAGCTGAATGGTAAAAGCGCCTGCGCCAACAGATTTGCACACAATCACATGGGCGAGGGACGAACCAGCAGCAGCAGCAGCATACAGAGCGTTCCACACACAAATGTCAATTTGCTTACGCACACTCCTCCACATGTACGCTGTACATTTATACAAGTAAGTCCAAGAGCGCAGCAAGTCGGACCCAGGAGGGAGAATCAAAAACACATCCCTGATATGGTGGCATTCGACATATGCCAGGCTCAGACATCACCAAAAACACATGGCAGTGGAACTGTTCGAACACAGATCTGCACCTTGCAACGCGTGAAACTCGCAAGAAGGAGGTAAGATGAGGACAGAGAGAGGGATGCTCGGGTCTGCCTGCCGAAGGCGGGCAGCGCTGGAACATTGCAGTGCGCCCAGCAGGGCTCCCGGCAGGGGCTCTGAGGCCTCGGGCGGCTGGAGCCAGATGGCTCCGCACGCGAAGAGGGCCCGGACGGCCTCACAAAAGAGCAACTCGGACCCTGGGCGGTCCCTGATACTGTGTATGGGGTTAGAGTACAAAGGTACAGAACCCCTGATCCGCTGGTAGAGGAAAGGAAGGAAAGATGGATATCTTTTTCCTCCTGCACGATCAAATGTCTGATCGATCTAATCCAATACCTGAGTGGCCGGGTGGCCTCGCACATGGACGGAGGTCAGCTCGACCTCTCAGCCAGGCGGCCCTTCGCCTCACTGCACGATGGCCTCTCTGGCCTCTCGCTCGGAACGTCCGGGCGGCACGCCGTGCAGCTGCTCAAGGACTCGTGACCTGTGTGCGCACTGGGGGTTGCAATACCTCCCGGTGTAGGTCACCTCGCCCTGGTAGTGCTTTACCAGGTTGTGTCGAAGCGGTCGCACGTAGTTTGTCTTTGAATTCAAAAAATGATGTTTTGATTCAAGAAACTGGTTTTTGAATTCAGAAGAACTAGTTGTTGACTTCCAGAAACTGGTTTTTGAATTCAAAAACTAGTCTTTTGAATTCAAAAACTCGTCATCACGTCGTGGACGGCGACCTTCTCGGGCTCGACATCCGCCTTGGCGGCGGGCTCGCCGTCGGGCCCTGCCCCGAGGCTGTGCGGGCAGGAGCCTTCATCGGCGGCAGCTGCCTGGGATCCAGGAGTGGCACGGTGGCTAGTGGCTCAGCAATATACCACACGATGGTCATCACATTCCAAACCGCCATTGCACATGTGAAGCCATATGAGCGACGAAAATAAACGGGTCTTACGCGAGGCGACATAGCGACCTTGCGCCGCAGCTTACGCGGGCCGCCAGCGCGGCACTCCACGTTGGAGACGAGGGCGCTTACGCGCGACCTTACGCGGGCAGCTTACGCGCCAATGTCGGTGAAGACGACCCTGCTTTCTTCTGTCGCTCGTATGCGAAGCCTGTGAAGTAGGTGAGCCACTCCACAGAGTAGGAGTCCTCAGGTGCTGGTCACGTCGAGCGGGTACCTCGGCTCCTCTGAGCTCTGCAGTGGCCGTGCCCTGCTACCGATGGCCAGCGAGGCAAGGGTCAGCATCTGAATGGGGTTATCACCCCTGGGTTTCACGAACTTCACGTCGCGCCCGGACATGAATAACATGAGCATGGCCGCGCCCATTACCTTGGCCAACGCGTCTACCACCATGGTGCGGGTAGGTATCCAACGTAGCACCAGTGCCGCAGGTGCGAACGTCTCCCCCAGCATGCTCACGTCGACCCTGAGCGTCTCCACTTGACCTGCCCGCTGGTGGTCCTGAAACTGCTGATCCCCTCTGGCGTCTCCTCGGCCTCTGGCGTCCTCTTGCGGTGCACCAGAAGGGGTATGCAGTCGATCGCTTTGCTGGCCCTCTCCTGGGCCACAACGGTATACCCGAGTGGCATCTCAAATAGTTCACGTCGCCGACCTTCATGTCGAGGTGCAGCCGTTTGCCAAGCATGGGCAGCAACTTCCAGGTCTGTTCCGGAGACTTGTCCAATGCTGACATCATGTCGTCCACATGGGCATTGATCACGAGCACGATCTTCCCTTTGTGGCGCATGTGGTACAAGCCCCGTCAAAGCTTGACCTCGTGCCGTGCACCTGGAACTCCTGGAGCACGGAGCGCTGGTTAAAAAAAGGCCCTGCCAGTGTCCTTGGCCCCGTAGAAGACCCGGGCGTAGAAGACCTGGCCTGGGCAGGTGCCTGGAGGTGGATTCTCCAGCGGCATCTTGATCATCAGGACCCCGTCGGTGCCGCCTGCCTGTAGGCATGCGTTCTTGGCGTCGTAGAAGAGGCCTTCCCAGCCTGATTGGGCAGCGAACCCAGCCGTGATCCAGAACGCGCCACGACTTCAAGCAAGAGCGTCGGCGCGGATATCGATGTCGCGCTCCTGGCAGCCTTGGACTACCAGTCTTGCCTTGAACTCGTCAGCGCCCTTGTCGGCCAGCACCCTGCTCGTACCAAAGACCTTGAGCTTGGGCCCCGTGTGCAGTAGCTCCTGCAGCTCCTCCTTGGCGTGGCCCCGAACGGCGTGGAAGGCCAATCACCTGTCCCACTCTGATGCCGTGGCCTCTCTCATTTTGACCTGCTGGGCGCCAGTCAGGCCCGTGAAGGTGAGCTCCTTGCCCCTTGACTTCCTCACCATGTCGACGCGCCTGAGGGGAGTCGGGCAGAGGGTGGAGTCTGTCTACCAGGGCGCCTCAGACATCTCAACAAGCCCTAAACAATCCGAGTACATAAGCGACACCTGAGGACAGTGCTCCATGACGGCCAGAACTGCGATGTGCTCAGCTGCCGGGGAGGTTTGGAGAAAGGGCAGCAGGAGGACTAGGAGGGATGAAGAGAAGGAGGAGGTTGACACGTCCCTGAGGAAGATCAAGAGAAGGAGAGGGAGCAATGGAGGTAGGGGAAGAGGAGGGGTAGGAGGAAGAGGGCGGGAGGAGCAGGAGCAAAAGGAGGCGGAGGGTCACTTCATCGTCAATACTGCCTCATCCTCCTCCTCCTCGTCCTCCTTCTCGTCCTCATCCACCTCCTCCTCCTCATCATCCTCCTCATCCTCCTCCTCCTCCTCCTCCCCCTCCTCCCTCCCCCTCCCCCCCCCTCCCCCCTCCCCTCCCCTCCCCCATCCGTCGTGAGTGGTTTGCTTAGTCTTGCTTCTGAGGCCTCAGCCTGGGACTCCGCCCTTGAGAGATCCGAGGGTATGCATGCTAGAATCTAAACCAGGTATGGGCACTTAGCACACCTAGTGAATGGTGAATGTAAGCCGCTGCCCACTCAGGCGTGGGCCGCGCGATGCTTCCTCTCGAAATCCTAGATGTCAGGTGTCTTGTGACGGGTCCGTG